ATAAGTTCTTGCTTCAGTTCCTATTTTATAAATTCCATAAATATTCTTTGTTATCAAAGGAAGCCTTGAGTATGGTATAATCAGTATGTTTTAGGTTTTTAAAATGATAACTAAATTAAATGATACGATGTGATTGACTCAGTAACTGATCATGAGACCGTATCATTTGCTCAAGCTCTCAAAATAAGAAAAAAGAACGATTCAGTTCCCTTTTTGGTGAAACTAATATACTGGTATAAAACATTAAACATAATCACAAGTTATTTAATAATATAAACAACTAGATTAGACGAGTTTTTTAGATTATTTATTCGTCAATGAAACAGGGACATAACTATCAAAATTCTGTTCTTGCTCTGTGTATTATTTCTATTCACAATGATTTACACGCTCATTCATTATTTGGTGAGACTATAATTATGGACGACCTTTGAACGATATTGAATTGACCTAGGGACCTCGGCGACCAATAATTGGTTCATACGCCATTAGTTCCTTGAGGATACTGGATAACATGTGCACTGTTGGTTTTAAATCAGGGTTTTCCAATTCCTTAGGTCGACTCTCCGTGTCCACCAACCCGGTTAATGCTCTAGACATTCGCTTTTCGTCCTCTTAATTTCGTAAACAACAACCTCGCTAAGAGGAGTCATTGAGTATGACTTCCGTGGTAGTGGCTGTATACCCGTGACCATGTGAGAGCATTTCGAGAGGTAGAGCTGACTCTCCTCACTCTCGGCCGTATCATGACATTTGAGGGAATTCCAATTAAATAACAGAATTCAAAAATGTTAATCATTGAATATGGTCTAGAAATCAACTATTCATATACTAGGATCAAATCATTGTCTAATATTTCCCAGTTTTCGATGATTGTCTAAATAAAATGAGTCAATGTTGTAAACAATAAATACAATTTTAATGTAAATTAATATTATGTCACTAGACAAAACTCTTCTTATAACAAAATATTTTTTGAATATGAATCATTTGTTTATTATCTTCTCTTTTGTTGTTTTAAACATAAGTTCCCGCCTATTTTTCGAAAAAAAAAATTGAGAAAATTTATTATTTACTTCTTTTAAAAATAAATAATTGTAAATTGATTGTCATCATTAGTGTTAATATTCTATGCAACTTGTTATAGACTGTCAACTTTGTTTCCAATTAAGAGAACTATTACAATTGTCATGGTGAATATATATATATATATTTCAGAAGGGGTTTTGTGGATATGATAGTAATTTCAGTAGTTGAGATCATGAGTCAATCTAAGCTAGACCACCATAGAAAACCTGGAAGCACTGGTGCTCATCCACGACTTTGCCTCGCAAGATTCGAAACCAGGATCTATCAGTCTCGCGTGCGAGCGATTAATCATTAGATCATTGAAAGATCAATAAAAGATTGGATTGAAATAATGTTCAACGATCAACTTTTCTGTTTGTTTGTTTGTTTTATTATTAAGATTATGATTACTATTATTATTGCTACTCAAATGTTATTAATGAATCATAATGATTATAATTGACACAGAAATAGTTTATGTTTAGTTTTATTATTTAAATTAGAACTAAATTAACGGGTATCTACCCAAATTATTATTCAAAGATTCAAAGATTTTAACTTGTTAGTTTGACAAAAGTAAAGTAGATTTTCTGTGAAATGAATATTATGCTATTTACTGTTTAATTTAGTTAACACACCCTTCAATTTTTTATTCTCTTCTCTTCTCAAAAAACAAAAAAAAACGAAAACAACAAAACAGACAAATAATCCCATAGGTGACTATTTTACTATTCAATAAAGATTAGTTTGGTCTTTGTCAATGAATATAATGATACTGATTTTATTTAGATTTAAGCATGATTCTTAATGTTTTATTCAATTCCGAAGTATATATATATATTACTTATTAAGAATAAAGGCAAGATAAACTGATTACTGATTCAAATTCTATTTCAGTAAGTCTTCGAAATTACCTTCAAATTCTGTTCATTACATAAGAATGGATTCCAGAAAAAAAGTAATCAACGGACGTCTAACTCAAACTCTTATCAATCTTGATGTAAGCTTTATTATATCTTGACAAGTAATTAGCTTTCTCTACTCAATCGACAAAGTTTTAGTGTTTAAGATCAAAGATATTCCGGTTCAAATTCTAATGTAAATGAATAACAATGATGAAATAGAGGTATATCTAATAAATGGGTTTTAAATAACATGAAACTGATATATTATGTAATTAACTTCTAATGTCAGTTTACTTATTCTAAAATCAGTTAAACTTGAAAGTTTGCATTATTATATCTTATCTTATTGGGATAAAGATATTAAGTTTGTCAAGATATCTGAACAATATGAATTTCTTAGTTCCACAATGATAAATTTGTTTATTGTTCTCGGTTTTTCAATTGTCCCCTAGTTGGAATCAGTCGGTAGTTTAAATCATTCTAAAAGATATATTATCCAGATACTTAATATAACTGTAAAGAACGAGGACACAAATAGGGAATATCGAATGTATTTGTACATGAAATTACAGAATCTCTTAGTAAAATCTGAGAATTATACAGTAAACACTTAATTTACAAAATATCAATCAGTTGTCTTAAACTTGACTGTTTCTTTGCAAATGTCAATCATTCGTCTCAGGCTTTACTGTTTTTTCATTTCCATACCAATCTCTTTCTGTTTCCGTTCTTTCCTTCTCAATCTTCCCGACCTCCTGCTGCCAGACATTCTATTCCTTACTAGCGTTATATACTACTTATGTCGATATAATTAGCACACGCCACATAACCATTGTGTTTTATTTAGTCACTTTACTACTCTCAAATCTTTCTAAGATAAATCATTTGAAAACCGTGAATAAATTTAATATTCAAATGTTCTACAGTTTCTTAGGATTAATTCCCCAACTTATATTAAACTATGGTAAAAAAAAGACAGCCTACACATTGAACAAGAATCTTCATCAGTCATATAATTACTTGTGTATAAGTAATTCTTATGTTGACCAGAATACATGTGAATGATTTATATGGTACTTTTAACTAGAAAGTTAATTTTATGTAAGTTAGATATCAGAAACAGATATATGTAAATAATTTGGGTAGCATTATTTGTTTCTAAGAGCTAGTAATACTGAAGTGATCACATATACATCACAGCTTGTCATGTAGACCTTGATGTTGATTGGTTCTTGTTGACTATAAACTCTACTTCTTTATTTTGCTTATATCAACATTGAGATCTATAGGACAAACTGTGAGCCATATGTAAAGAAATTCGAATACTTCACTTATACCTGGAGTTTGTTCTGATGATGTTGTTTAGAAGAACGATGAAAGCTCTACAACCAAACCATCCAGCTCAGACAACAAAACTCCATCAAAAAGTTAGTAATACTACTTAGATGGTTAAATTAGTACAGTCAATGAAAGAGTCAAACATATGGATATTAGTTAAAAAAACGGATAGTTTCTTTAAATACTCTGCCATCAATTCACTAAAGCTAATTATATTTCTTAGTTGCATGTGTTCACATTGTTCCAGCCATGAATAACTTGTGAATCGTTTTGATATTTAATAGTAATACTGTTTTTAACCATAATTTATAAACGAACAAGATATAGCTTTGAAATGCTTAGATTGTGGCAGTTGTAGTTTAAAAGCTTAATAATCTTTTCTGTTGATAACTTAACAAATTTTATCAATAATAAGAGGTTTGTGAAGATAATAGAATTTTATAGTTTATATTATGAATAAACTTTGGACAACTATTAAAAGCTAGAAAGCATTTGATAATTATTTCACTCATGTATAGAACTCTTCAGCAACTAATATCCACAACCTCATTAGGTATTGAATACTAGAGCTTTAAGTCTCATGGTGAGTTATTAATCTTTGATTAATATTTCTAATCTTTAACTTCAAACCATCCATTGCTGGTTCAGTAGTCATTACAGGACCTGAAGATCACTGGTTCGATCTATAGATGCGCGCTTCTAGGAAATTTCATGTGATGAAGAAATAGTTGTTCTTCTTTGAACATGTAATACGTGTTATAAATTTGAAAATATTTACATCAATAATTATGAAATTATGATTACAGAAGTAATTGAAAGATGAATGTGAATAAGATAATTATAATTTTTGAAAATTGTTACTTAATAAATGAAAGATGAATAATGAAGTTGAGTAAAAGTGAAGCAGAGTAGAAAAGGTGATCATTTGTAATCAACCTTAGTGTATTAAATAGTATATTGGATATAAGTTAATGGTATGTTGATGTCTAGTGCAACAAAAGTAGTTGTTCAAATTTTTATTCAGCACATTAGTTCAGTTTGTTGATATGGAAACGGATAGATGTATTCAATAAATTTTTATATTATATACATGATAAACTAAAGAGAATAACTCAAACGGTTTAATTCATATCGAATTACTATGTAACGTTTGTTAAGCGAGAATGTTTATAGCTCTTGACCATTGAAATATAGTGACAGTTTAACTTAATGGCAAGTCCAATTTGATCGGCTTAATAAGACCATTTAAACTGATTATATATATATATATATATATATATATATATATATATATGCGGTGTAATCCTCCCAGTTTATTATACTGCTATTATATTGTCATTCTTATTTTTGAACTCTATTTTACACCTCACTCATAAATGAGTTACTTATTCACTATGTGACTAAAAGATTTTGTTCCAATTAACCGATTAGAACTAATGAAAACAATTATCGATTATTTAATCACTATTAATCACCCCTTATTTAACATCTTCCTTGTTCAAAAGACATATTTAAAGTGTTCCATTATCAATGTTTTATTGATTCTATCATCTGAGTGATAGAAAATGTTAAAATTTCAAGATTCCTTTATATACTACTGATATATATGATTTCATTTACTCTTATTTATGTTAACAACTTCTTTTTGTATTGTTCTTTTTCCTTAATGAAATGTTTATACTTTTTCAGGATTTTGTATACTTTGGAACCAAATGAATTCGCCTTGAAGTGTTACCTTTCTTTTTGCATAGTTCTTTTCGCAAAATTCTAGTTGCCTTCTTAATCTTTGGACTTGAAACCGCACGAGAGAGAGAGAGAGAGAGAGAGAGAGGGAGATGTTAAGAACTATCATCATTTACCTTGAACATCATGGATGAGTAGTGTGATTTATTCATTGACTTATTATTATCAGGAAAAAAAAAAGAACTTACTACTCGTGGAGGAGCATATACCGTACACCAGCACTCTCCATCCAACCCTGTCCTAGGCAATCCTTTCCAGTTGTTATTCATCCTTTTCATATTTATTCCAATTCCCTCTACAATGTGTTCTTTAATCTTCTTCTTTTCCTGGAAAAAATAGAAACAACTACAAATATTATTCACTATGAATATAAATTAAAATAGACTCATTTGAGATCATGGAGATTAATATGAAAAAAGAAATCAAATACATTTGTACTCATTTATATTAAATTTTTTTTCTTTGGTTTTATTAATCTAATTTGATGCTAAGAAAGAACAAAAGAATATAAGAAAAGACCCGATAGGTACATTTTAATCTTTTCTGTACTTTGTATCTATCTATCTATCTATCTATATTTATGTAAATGTTTCTTGATTTCAATAAATAACTCGGTGGTTGACTATGTACAAGTATGTGCACATCTATGTATGTATACATTCATATCTAACAAGTGAATACATAAATATACAATATTTAGAGTAAATACACAACAAAGAGAGACAGGAATACAAAACAGTGACAATTACAACAATATAAAATATTCCTATGATGGTCTTTTTCTTTTCTTCATTTTTAATACACCAATTCGATAGTGATTTTACATGGATTATGTTGTAAATTGTTTTTTTTTAATTTTTTTTTTAAAGAAAACAAGGTTTTCTTCAGTTTCTTGTAACCAGGCAGATTGTAAACTGAAAATACTCAACTGTTGTTACGTAATTATCATTATCAAATATGATTGGTTAATACTGTTTTTTTTGTTTTTTTTTGTTTTTTTAAAAAAAAGTAATTTTATGATGTTTGTTTCTGTGTGAATGTTTTTTTCTCAATTTTTCGAAAAATTCTGAGAATGGTCATAAAATAAGTACTTTTTTCATGTACAGGTAATTGAAATCAAGTAGAAAGTTAAATAAATGAAGTCATAAATAACTTTTCATTCAACTATGGAAAAATCAAAATGTATATTGAGTTGATGATTTCATATATGTAAATTATAAGTTAAAGTCAGTCAATCTTAATCAATGTAGAGTTTGGTATATATTTACATCGGTCGAGAAGATTTGTAGCTTAGGTGGATGATTTTGATGGAGTTTTGTTCTTTTAAATCTAGATGGTTTGGTTGTGAAGTTTTCATCATTCTTCTGATTGACATCATCAGAACAAACTTCAAGTAGAAGTGAAGTATTCGAATTTCTCTACATTTAGTTCACAACTTGTCCTGTAGACCTTGATGTTGATTGGTTTTTGTTGACTTTAAACTTATCATTGTTCACTTCTTTATTTTGGTTGTATCTGACATCGGCTTGGTTTTCGGTCTTATGTTTGTCCATGATTTTCCTTATCCCTTGATAAATTGGATCAATTTCAATTGCTGATTGACTTGAGTGCTAAGCTTCTAGAAATTCTCTGTTGTTTTTAGAATTGCCTGTCTAAATAGTTACACCATATCAGCATAAAATAGTTCAAATTTACAGTTAGTGACTTCATTTATTGACGACACATTTTGGTTTGGTCCTATGTCAGCTGATAGTTAGTCGTTGGGAGTACATGCTACGTGTTCAAACTACTTCAATTGCAAAAGAGATCCACATTATAATCAAATGATTTGCTAACTTTCAGTTAAAGTAGCATATATTATTGATGAATTGCCAGTGAACAGATTAACTATGGATAATAGGAACCAGTGGTAAATGACTTTTAAAAGTAGCTAACTATGTTGATCGATTAATAGTTGAAACAGTGTTCAGTGATAAGCCTAAATAGTAGTACATCAAAATTAACAGGGGACCCGATAATTCAAAATTGAACTATGAACTACCATTAAATAGCTTGCTTCATAGTTTTCTTTATTAATCAGAAGTGTTAGATATTGTGTCATCCCTAGGATTGAGGTGACCTCAACATCTAGTAAGTTTCATAGTACAGTCATGAATAAGTTAAGTCTGTAACTTGAAGATGTCTAATTCTGATTGAACTATGACTAAGACCTTCATTATCATGCAAATATACATGAGTGTTACGAATCGAAAATATTTGCAGGGAAATAAACATTTTTAGAAATGGATTTTTTATGGTAAGCTACAAACCGTTATCTCAATTTTATTACTAAACACTAAAAGTTCTTCCAAACTGTTATTGATCCTAATTTGTCAATATTTATTCATCAGTTTCTCTATAGGTCAGGTGAGCTAATCAATAATTTGATGATTTTAGTACAGATATATAGAAGCTTCATCATTTGTTTGCTTACTGATCTCTGGCTACATTCATTTGCTTCCTTACGCCTGTTACTCCTCGTGGAGGAGTATAGGCCGCCCACCAGCACTCTGAATCCAACCGTGTCCTCGGCAGTCTTTTCTAGTTCTTTCCAGTTGCTATTTATCTTTTTCATGTCTGCCTCCAATTCCCAACGCAGTGTGTTCCTTGGTCTTCCTCTTTTCCATTTCCCTTCAGGATTCCAAGTTATGGATTGCCTCGTGATGCAGTTTGATGATTTCCATGATGTATGTCCTATCCACTTCCAATGTCTTTTCCTAATTACCTCTTCAGTTGGAAGCTGGTTTGTTTTCTCCAACAATAGGCTGTCGCTGATTGCCATATACCTTTAAAAAAATATTGTAATCAATGATCTAAGTCATTTTATTTCCTTAAATTTAACTAATTGTCAGTTTATACTACGTAGAATGAATCTAGAATCAGTATGAAATCACGAAAAAGGCGTACAACATAATTTTATAATTTATAAGCGTAGATGAACTATAAAATTATATCGTCTATTATCTTCCTAATTTCTGAAAAAAGTGAATGATCAACACCCAACAAGTGTTCTTTACTTTTGATTAAACGGGTTATATACTGATTGTCACTTTACATTTGAATACAATCTGTCAGACATGATCTACAATGATTATATAAATGTATTGAACTGAGGTAAATAAAATATATTATTAGATTCAATAAAAAACGGAGTCACAACTTCATTAACAACTAACAGAACACAACATTCATAAGTAGTTTCATAGTGCTTTAAATGAATAATTTGTTCGGACATCTTTGAAACCTCTGAAAATTGATAATTTCATTCATAAATTGAAATACGTTGAATATGATAGAAGAAGCGACCATCTACAAGACTATAATTTATGGCCGACCATTAAGCGAACCTCAAATGACTTTGAGGAGCATCAGCCAATCAGAAAACAGCATAGAGTAAAAATATACTATATAAAACTAAAGAATTAAAGTGGATACACTTCTTTTACATGGTTCAAAAACTTGTCAAGGTTAGAAAGAGGTTCAGAGGTTTTAAAATCGTAGTGCAAACGCTACAGGAAATCATCCATATGACTCCATACTAGTAGGCCTCTGGAGTCATGATAAGGTTATAAAAACTCTTTCAGCCTCTACCACATAGCTTCAATATTGTTTGTATGCACTCCTGTTATTGGGTCCACAAAATGCTGCTTGTGGATAACGACACGATGCACATAACCAAGTCTATGAAAGCATCTGTGCGCTCTGCAGTCGTGCGCATATAGTGTAATACCCGGCTGAAGCCAGCGTTACTGGTGCTTTTATTATCCAGTTCGTAACAATTGTGATGATTTGCCTTATTCTCAATTTGGATTGAGCGAAAAATTCTATTCTAGCAGACTTCTTCCTCCAACACATATTATATCAAAAGACAACATCATTACGGTAGTCTGCACAAAGTTCACAAGTCATTTGATTACCATAATAACAAATAAAAGAAGCTCTTAATAGTCCCATTTGTTGTAGGATGTCCACTTATTAACTAGGACTAAATGAGGGTTATAAACCAGTGTGAGGAATTAGAATTATGATTTATAGTTCATAGTTAGAGCTAGGAATTAGATTCAGGGTGTTTATCAACTAAAATACCAAAACGCTATCGAATTAAATGAATAGATAAACTTCGCGCCAAAATCCCACATTTATTACCTTATGTCTGATTGGTTCGTCCATAAATTATAGTCTCACCGAGACTATAATAAGGTTTAAAATCAATTATCTATTTTTGATAAAAGCTTTAGCCACTTCTTTCTCTCTATTACTGATTGAGCCTAAGATATTTTTTAAAAAAAAGAGGACAAAGACAGAAAAAGATAATAAAATGATTAATTGAATTCACATGTATCTCATTTTATTAAAATGACCCAGTTTACTGGCCATAAGTTTTTATTCAATTTCAGTTTGTTCTTTTTTTAAAAAAATTAAAATTATCCGTTGATGTAACCATGGCAACAAATAAACAAAGTAAATTGGAATGTTGTATTCATTTTAATAAAAATGATCTACAGTAAGTGATAAAATTTTTTTTTTAATATTTACTTAGGGTTGTTAGAAAAAAAATTTAATGTTCTCAGTAGTGAATTACAATTTTGTAAAAGAAAACTGACGAATTTTTTGAAGCTGAACATACAGTCATAAACCGATTAATGTTAAACCACCATTGAAAGCCTAGAAGCACTGGATGGCCGTTTCACCCTAGCATGGGACTCCTTAGAAGTGCGCATTCTTGATCCCACTCGTGCACTGCTGAGGAGTCCCACAATAGGACGAAACGGCCGTCCAGTGCTTCCAGGTTTTCAATGGCGGTCTAACGTAAAGTGATTCATGATCTCAATCATATACCTAATAATCTCCACAAGCCTATTATGATAAATATGATTTATTAATTCACTTGGTGTTGTTTGCTAGTATCTTCTCATTGTTGTTTTGGACAGCCA